TACAGGTAATATTCTATTTCTAGTTGTAAAAAAGTTTATTACAGTAATTTATTATTCCTAAACTTTTCTGTCGGGAGAAGATGTTTTGAGTATGTTCAATGCCTTAACGTAATGGTTGGTGTGTGTGGGCGGGTGAAGGATGTTCACTTGTTTAAGAACATAAGAAAATAAGGAGTCTGCAATAAGCCGGTTGACCTGTGCATGGCAGCTCCTGTCGAGAGTTACTACCACTCTCTATCATCCATGAATCTATCCAGCCTCCTTTTGAAACTTTCCAGCGTTCCAGCACTTCATCCAAAGTTGGTAAGCTTTGTTCCACCTGTTCACGTCACGTTAGCTCAAACCACGTCACGTTAGGTGCAAGGCCACGTCACGTTAGCTCAAGACCACGTCACGTTAGCCCAAGCACCACGTCACGTTAGTTCAAGGCCACGTCACGTTAGCTCAAGGCCACGTCACGTTAGCTCAAGACCACGTCACGTTAGCTCAAGACCACGTCACGTTAGTCCAAGGTCACGTCACGTTAGTCCAAGGCCACGTCACGTTAGTCCAAGGCCACGTCACGTTAGCTCAAGGCCACGTCACGTTAGTCCAAGGCCACGTCACGTTAGTCCAAGGCCATGTCACCCTAGCTCAGCGCTCTCTCGTGTTAGCGGGCCAGAGTTGAGGTCGTTTGGTGTGGCCTGAGGCCTGTTGAGTAGTTAACCATAGGGATTAAATAATACACAACTATGTATGACTTTTAACTATTTATTTATATAGAGTACTTACCAAGGTTAGGTTACCCACTGTTAGTTGTGGGTAGACCCATAGCCGTGGCCAGGGAGGGGGGAGGGGGAGAGAGGCGTTAGGTAGGGATTCTTGCAAATGCAAACACCAATATGCAATGGAAATATCAAACCACATATATACTATTTAAGAAGTTACACACATACATATTATTTTACATATTACGTTTTTTTTTCATTTTTAATCAATTCTTTCCCACCACCTTTCCAGGAAGTGGAAATTGTTACCGAACAAAATCGCGACCGACCGACCGACCGACTGACTGACTGATTGCCTAACTGAAAGCCTACATGGCCAGGGTGGGATGGGGGTAGAGGGGGCGGGGTGAGAAGCTACAAAAAAGGAGGCATTTGATCAATTTTCTGTCATTTACAGCTTTCTACGACCACCACTACCACCAACACTACTACCACTACCACCACCACCACCACCAGTACCACCATATCCACCAACTTTATAAATATTACCACCATCGTCTTCACTAACATTATAAACATTATCACCGTCATCACCATTATCATCACTACCACCATCATCATCATCACCACCATCATCATCATCATCACCATTTCCCACCATAACCACCATTCTTACCACCACCACAACCACCATTCTTTTCTCCACCACAACCTAACCAAACCTAACTGATACTACTCTTGGTTAAATTTGGTTAGTATAGGCTTTGTTTGGTTAGGTTAGGTTAGATTTGGTTTTGTTTGGTTTGGTTAAATTATTTTAGGTTAGATTAGGTTAGGCTTACGTTTGATTAAATTGGGTTCGGTTAGATTGGGTTCGGTTAGGTTGGGTTCGGTTAGGTTGGGTTCGGTTAGGTTGGGTTCGGTTAGTTTGGGTTCGGTTAGGTTGGGTTCGGTTAGATTGGGTTCGGTTAGATTGGGTTCGGTTAGGTTGGGTTCGGTTAGGTTGGGTTCGGTTAGGTTGGGTTCGGTTAGGTTGGCTCATGTCACCTGCCAATGTAAACAAAAGAGCGGCGGTGTTCGTGGTAACAAGTCCAACATAATACCCCACCCGTCCCGGCCAGTACAACATGACACTCACCTTCTCCACACATGACCACTCATGTCGTCTCAATAGTAACAAATAAAAGCATTATTATTGACTTAGTATTGGATGGTTTTAATCGGTGAGAACTGGAGATTTATAAAGGTGAATTTTACAAAGTTAACACTGGTTTATAAAGGTTAAAACATGTTACTTTATCTCGTGTGGGGAAGCTATGATGGTTTAAAGACTACGGTTTGTTATTGTGGTTTATAGAAAATACAAGACTTTACGGGGGTTGGAAGTGTTGGTTTAAGTAGAATATTGTGGTGTTAATAAAAAAATTGACACTTACACTGAGATGGTGGGTTTAACATCTACGATACATTACAGGTGTGGTGATGAAATAGGAACAAAATTACACAGGTGATGGTTAGTTACGTCAGAATAATTACATCTACGTTATGATGGTTGGAGTAGAAAATTTAAGTTATTACTGGACATGACAAAGTTTGCGTGGTGGTGTTATTACAAAAAAAAAGTATATATAATAATGTGTTAGTTGATGTAGATAAACTTTTTGACATTACGCTGTTTGATAGTTTTTAGCTGAATATTTCACTAAATTATTATTATTGACTGAGACGGTACACACACACACACACACACACACATACATACACACGTACGTTTGGATAATTTTTGGATTCACCTGAAGATAAGTCACCCCAGCTTACCTCACCTGATGATTAAACACCTTAACACTACTTGGGGGGGGGGATTAGGTTAGGTTAGGTTTGGTCACGTTAGGTTAGTGTTAGGGTGGTTAGGTTAGATTAGGTTTGGTCACGTTAGGTTAGTGTTAGGTTAGGTTAGGTTAGGTTAGGTTTGGTCACGTTAGGTTAGTGTTAGGGTGGTTAGGTTAGCCTTAGGGTGGTTAAGCTTTAGGTGAAATAAGCTGGGGTGATTAATATTCAGGTGATCTCAATTTCCATAATGTTCTTTACACACAAAACACATTATAACCCATTGATGTATTTATTTCATTATATTACAATTATTCGATTTTGACACAAGATGATGATGTGGTGTTATTGATGTTGTTAGTTGTGGTATAAAATAACACTTAGGGTGGTATAGGAGTTGTTACCTATGACTAGTGTGGTGGGCGGGTGTTGCCTAGATACATGTAACCTGGCAGGAAAGTGTTACCTTCTATGGTGTCTCTCTCGAGTGCTGGTTTTAAGATTACTAAAACATGGTTGGCTATGTGAGCGTTCATCTAAAGCTAGTATCAATCTTCAGGTGACCTACACACACACGCACACACACACACACACACACACACACACACACACACACACGTACATACACACACACACACACACACACACACACACACACACACACACACACACACACACACACACACACACACACACACACACACACACACACGTTAACCCTGTCTCTACAACACACACTAATAAACACAAGGGAATATCCCAACATCCAGGAATGACGTCACATATAGAGCCTTTCTGAGCCTCACAGTCGACCTCATGTTAATTATCTTAATCATTTAAGTAGGTGAGAGGAGAGGAGTTTGAGGCGGTCGTGCTAGAGTTGTCAGAGCAGCTGTACAAGTGACTGTGTGTAGACAAAAGCACTGCTAGAATGCTATACAACCAAAGTTCACGTCAATCATCAGTGACGGTCTTGTATGAAAGCACAAAATGACATTGTTGTTGTTGTTGTAACTGTGGTGAGGCAGCCCTTCGTCGCACGCCCGTCTAATGTGTCCCCAAACAAGCTTGAGTACAAAGGGTGGGTGGGTGGGTAGGTGGGGGGGGGGATACACATCAGCTGACCTATCACAAGCAGTACACCAGACTGTATTAACAAAACCGATCATTACGTTTATCAGGTTATTAAAACGTTATTGCATTTCTTGAGCTCCATCGACACTACATCGTGAGACACTATACCGTGACACACTACACCGTGAGACACTATACCGTGACAGACACTACACCGTGACAGACACTATACCGTGACACACTACACCGTGACAGACACTATACCGTGACACACTACACCGTGACAGACACTATACCGTGACTAATATGACACTCCGACTGTCAAGACACCAGCACTGTCATCAAGACTGTTCTTTGGAGTTACAAATACGGTGCTTCGAGGACGACCTTCAAGTGTAACTCAAGAGTGACCAAGTGACCACCCACGGGATGTGTCTGAGGGGTTCTGGAGGTGCCGGGGCTTCTTACAGTGTGTATGTGTGTCCGCCTGCTCTCAAGGTTCAGTCTTGTACACCTGAACCTCTCTTGTACACCTGAACCTTATTTGTACACCTGAATCTTATTTGTACATCTGAACCTTACTTGTACATCTGAACCTTACTTGTACATCTAAACCTTACTTGTATATCTGAACCTTACCTGTACATCTGAACCTTACCTGTACATCTGAACCTTACCTGTACATCTGAACCTTACTTGTACATCTGAACCTTACTTGTACATCTGAACCTTACTTGTACACCTGAACCTTACTTGTACACCTGAACCTTACTTGTACACCTGAACCTCTTGAACATGAACCAAACGTCTCTTGGGTTTCTTCAGCATAGGAGCCTTGGAGAGCTACCAGACCACCGTAACTACCATCACCAGACCACCGTAACTACCATCACCAGACCACCTTAACTACCATCACCAGACTACCTTAACTACCATCACCAGACCACCGTAACTACCATCACCAGACCACCTTAACTACCATCACCAGACCACCGTAACTACCATCACCAGACCACCTTAACTACATATATTCTCACCTAAAGAGCATAAACTTGACCTGCTTGTAATAAATCAACTAATGTACTGTCTAAGTCTACTATGAGTCTTAAAGGAGACGGGGGTTGGGGGGGGGGCGGGAGGGTAGGTTAGGGTAGGGTAGTTCTACATAGTTTGGTCTAACTTGACTAGAAACTTCATTACATCTTGGCTATAGGGTTCGAGGTCTCTACTGTATGGGTTGTGCTTGGTCATTCGTAAGCTGGGAGGAGCTGGCTGTAAATGCGACTGATTGGCAACTCACTACAGTATGTTAACTAGACACTTGAGTGGTGAGGATTGTAGGGCAGTGATACCATATCCAACAGCATGTAACTTTGATGCTTGTATAAATGCGTTTTTGTTTTTGTTTTCTTGAGGATTATTTTTTTTTTTTATTTGTTAGCGCGAGTTAGTTCGGTGAGCAGTGTTCAATTTTCGTCACCTGTGCCTTGGCTGCCCTGTCTATACCTGTCAGTCTCACGCTAATCCTCGCTACCTCAACTACTGTACTGCACCTGGTGAAGTTTTCTCTGTATGTTGACCAGATCACAACTTTACGAGGCTTAGGAGTGTTGTGATGCATCATTTAGCTGCACTTTTAGTCTGTCTTAACACTCAAGTACCATTTTTTTTCCTTGTCATCGATCACGTAGTTCGATTTCTATCATAATTATCATTGATTCATGTGATTCCGTTTGTATGAATTAATTTTCACCTATTTAGTATTCGTAATAGTTCAGTAACACAACTCTGGCGGTGTTACCATAAGTCTCAATTCATGTTTCATGTGTTAATCAACTCCCGGGTATAGTCTTCATTATACATAGTTTTTATCCAATGCGTCAATTTAATTTCTCCAAGTTATCGTTGAAGTATTAGAAGTAAAAAGTCCTTATCTTGGTGTTGTGTCGTGATGCACAACACAACACTTGGCAGTATAACATTATAGTAGTTCTTGTTTACTGGAGCGTCATCACAGAACCAAGTACCTTTCCTCCTGACGGTGACCAGGTGATGATGATCCCCCTGAGGAAGCCTCGAGGAACAGGGAGGTCTTAACATCTTATCACAAGTTGGTCTCGATAACCTGTAGAGCTAAAATGACCCTCTGGGAGCTGGAGAGTTGTGTTAGTGTTACACCACAACGCCCCGAGGGCTCCTGTGTGGCAGTTGCCACGCCCGTGGTTACCAGAGACGCCCTTGGAGAGCCGGGATGCCCTTGACAAGCTGGTTCCCCTTAAAGACCCGGGAAGCCTTCGGAGAGCTGGAACGCCCTTCGTGACTAGAGACGCCCTTGAAGAACTGAGGCATCATTTATCTAATAAGTGACATGCCCTTGGAGAGCTGGTACGCCCTTGGTGATCTTTGACACCCGTGGGGACCAGAGGAACACCCTTGCAGATGTCGACGTCCTTGTCGAGCTGTGATATCCTTTAAGGAGGTGGAGGTCCCTGGGGAGTTTGGAACGCCCCTGGAGACGAGAGACGCCCCTGTAGAATGTGGTAGAAGCTACATGATGGAGCAGAAGGCGAGGCCGTCCGTGAGCACCTCTTGCATGAGCACCTGAGTCTCCATAGGGAAGGCCCCGCCGTCGTTCATGGGGTCGTCGTAATAGTAGCTGTAGTAGAGACTCTGTGGACGGGAACGACCAGTCACTTATGTAGACATCAATACATACATCAACTAATACACACCTACATGTATCCATGTGTACATAAGTATACATATATAACAGAACTACATACTGAATACTTTGATGGAAAGATAGATATACGTATGATAATGAATATCTATATATACTTCCCACACATTTAAAGATTAATGTTTGCAGACGTATATAATGTACATAAATATCTTAACTCTGTTATTACATAAAATACAGTACTGCATAACAAGCTGAATATATATGTTTATATCTTCGTTATTCAAGTAAAACTAGATTGAGAATAGTTTGAACTGAGAATATATATTAATACTGTATTGTTGCACCTGACGTTGATAGTAAATTGACACAGTAGTTACCTGTAAGGGGTGAACATTATACACAAACATGTATACACCTCTCTCTCTCTCTCTCTCTCTCTCTCTCTCTCTCTCACCTGACACTTGGCACAGCCACAATATTGAGCCAGCTGGATCTCCCTCAACCGCTGGCGCTCCATGTCTCTCTCTCGCTCCAGCTGCGCCTCCCTCTGGGCGTCCCTCTGCGCCTGACGTTGTGCCTCAATCTGCGCTTCCCTCTGCGCCTCTAACACCGCCGCTTGCTCCTCCAATACGCGAGAGTTGCGAATGGTGAGTGACCCTAACGGCATCAGCGCCACTGTCAACACCACACTAATGTTAATATATGGCAGCGGCCTTTTGTGTTGTCTGTCAGTCATAGTGTGACTTGGTAACATTGTAACCTATCATTGTACAGTACATGTAACATGGTAACCTTAAAAGATGGCGTTTAGCGATGTGTTGACGGAATATCGTTTTGTTTCTCCGGGAACATCTTACGGGGAGTTATTCAGGTATATCTCATTAACAGTCTTACTGGCCTCACTAACATGTTTATTGACTCAGCCTTAAGGACACATTACTGGTTGTTTTAGTCACAGCTTTATGTAGTTAATTAAAGGAAAGCAATAGTTATGAGCTCTTGTGACGAGACTCGGTGCGTCTCTCTAGGGGCGGGAAGCTGGCAAGTTTGTCTCAACACTTACGTCTGCATGTTAAGAGGTCATATAGTTTGACCTTTGATCCTGTGTGAGTGAGGGGTTTGTATATTGAGGTGCTTGTTATACTTGGTGCTATAATATGGTGACCATCATACTGCAGGTCAGGGGTCAGGGGTCATTTGTTTTGGTGCCACGTGTCTAGATGTCTTCAAGAATAATCCTTTTTATAATGGATAATTTGTTGTTACTTAGGCACATTCCATAAATATTTGGTTAGTGAGTGTTTAGATTCTCCTGTTTTATGTGTCTATGTAATAATAATAATAATAATGTTAATAATGTTAATAATCCTGTAGGCAAAATAATTATTGTACACATTAAGACACTAGAAACATGATAGTTCAGTAATTGTTAATTATTGAAATATTAATGTATTTCACCAGCTAATTACCTTCAGACTTGTTTAATTTAACATGTTAATTATTTATCAACTATAGCATTTTAACGCTAATCTGGCCCGTAAGCCACGCCCTTCTTCTATGAAAAGTACCTGATTTGATCATGGAAAATGCTCGTGTAGCTGTCCGTTTTTTAAACTAAATGTGTTCACAATTGGTAAGAAGACCTGTTATTGTCTAAAATAATGTTAAATAACTCTTTTTTACGGGGACTAGCCCACCTGGGCACAGGTCACTGACCCACATCAGGGCCTCGGGGCGAAAATGTAATAATAATAATAATAATAATAATAATAATAATAATAATAATAATAATAATAATAATAATTAATAAAAATATATAAAAATTATAATAAAATAATAATAATAATTATGATAACCATAAATACAAAAGTGAAAAAAATCAATCAAGAGTGAGAAACGATATACAGTATGTATGGTTGTGTAGTTCATTACCTGTTGTCCTATATGGCTGGTGTCATTTGTCTCTATTGGCTTTATGTTTGGTACACAACCAAGAAATAACGAAAAGACTTCATTCAGAAGCGAATTTCATCTTTGACTTCGACCTTTTATGATAAACATTTAAATTTTTTCTAGCATCCTCTCTGAAGTGCTAATGCCTTGAAATCATTTGCATTTTTATAGTTCAGATATTTAACATTATTTCAGAGAATAACGGGTCTGATTACCTCGTGTGAACACATTTAGTTTAAATACACGGACAGCTACACGAACATTTTCCATGATCCAATCAGCTATTGTAGTTATAGACGAGGGGCGTGGCTGACAGGCCGGGTTAACGTGGAAAAACTAGTGTAAATAAATGTGGTAATTAGTAAAAGTAATCAGTGGAATTCAGAAAGAAAATTAGATAATTTTGATCGAATCTTAACTGGCTAATGACTCTATTGCATAGTTAATTGACTCACTTATTGATGTTAATGGTAAAAAATATTGAACTTGGAAACATAATTAGTGGACTTAATGACTAAAACATTGGGCTTTCCTCTTGTGTTTGGACTTACCTTGGGAAGAGAGACTGGCAGGTAGGAGTGAGCCTGTGGACGTGAAGGTGGTGGAGGAGAAGGAGGAGGAGGAAGTGGTGGTGGTGGTGGTAGCGGAGGAGGAGGAGGAGGAGGAGGAGACTGGACGACCACCCGAGAGTCGTATCCCAGACACGGAGTTAGCCAGCGCCTCCTCGTAGCTCGGCGGAAACTGGTAATACGACTGATACATAACATGGCGTTAGTGTGATACATAACATGGTGTTAGTGTGATACATAACATGGTGTTAGTGTGATACATAACATGGTGTTAGTGTGATACATTACATTGTGTTAGTGTAATACATAACATGGTGTTAGTGTGATACATAACATGGGGTTAGTGTGATACATAACATGGTGTTAGTGTGATACATAACATGGTGTTAGTGTGATACATAACATGGTGTTAGTGTGATACATTACATGGTGTTAGTGTGATACATAACATGGTGTTACTGTGATACATAACATGGTGTTAGTGTGATACATAACATGGTGTTAGTGTGATACATAACATGGTGTTAGTGTAATACATAACATGGTGTTAGTGTGATACATAACATGGTGTAGTGTGATACATAACATGGTGTTAGTGTGATACATTACATGGTGTTAGTGTGATACATAACATGGTGTTAGTGTGATACATAACATGGTGTTAGTGTGATACATTACATGGTGTTAGTGTGATACATAATACAGTGTTAGTGTGATACATAATACAGTGTTAGTGTGATACATAACATGGTGTTAGTGTGATACATAATACAGTGATAGTGTGATACATAATACAGTGATAGTGTGATACATAATACAGTGTTAGTGTGATACATAATACAGTGTTAGTGTGATACACAATACAGTGTTAGTGTGATACATAACACAGTGTTAGTGTGATACATAACACAGTGTTAATAAGCGTAACTGATACATAACACGGAATTAATGAAGAACTGATACATATTAAGGGGTTATATTGATAGTCTCTCATTCACCTCTCACAATGACTTCTTTCAAAATTAGGTGAATTATCTTTAAATTAGGTGAAATGTCTCAAAATAATGTCATCAGGTCTCTCTTCACGTTTATTTTCCCCTAACCTAACCTAACCTAACCTAACCTAACACAACCTAACATAACATAACCTAACCTAACCTAACTTAACCTCACCTAACCTAACATAACCCAACCTCACCTGGCTCTGGGCGACCTCGTAAGGCGGTGGAGGCGTCTGGATTTGCGAGGCCCTTGACCCCCTGGCCGAGTCCTCGCTCTCGGCTCTCCTGACGGGGTTAGTGCCAGAACGACCACGAGTCAGCTCTCGCCCACCCTCACGCCCACCATCGCCGCCGCCTCCTCCTCCTCCATCCACACCACCAGATGCTACCCAGGAGTATGGTGGAGGCTCTGAAAATGTGGAGGAGGTTAGTGGTGTTATCCTGGAGTAGTGAGGACATACTGTACAGGTGGAGGAGGTTAATGGTGTTATCCTGGAGTAGTGAGGACATACTGTACAGGTGGAGGAGGTTAATGGTGTTATCCTGAAGTAGTGAGAACATACTGTACAGGTGGAGGAGGTTAGTGGTGTTATCCTGGAGTAGTTAGGACATACTGTACAGGTGGAGGAGGTTAATGGTGTTATCCTGAAGTAGTGAGAACATACTGTACAGGTGGAGGAGGTTAGTGGTGTTATCCTGGAGTAGTGAGGACATACTGTACAGGTGGAGGAGGTTAATGGTGTTATCCTGGAGTAGTGAGGACATACTGTACAGGTGGAGGAGGTTAATGGTGTTATCCTGGAGTAGTGAGGACATACTGTACAGGTGGAGGAGGTTAATGGTGTTATCCTGGAGTAGTGAGAACATACTGTACAGGTGGAGGAGGTTAATGGTGTTATCCTGAAGTAGTGAGAACATACTGTACAGGTGGAGGAGGTTAATGGTGTTATCCTGGAGTAGTGAGAACATACTGTACAGGTGGAGGAGGTTAATGGTGTTATCCTGGAGTAGTGAGAACATACTGTACAGGTGGAGGAGGTTAGTGGTGTTATCCTGGAGTAGTGAGGACATACTGTACAGGTGGGAGGTTAATGGTTTAAGTAGTGAGAACATACTGTACAGGTGGAGGAGGTTAATGGTGTTATCCTGGAGTAGTGAGAACATACTGTACAGGTGGAGGAGGTTAATGGTGTTATCCTGAAGTAGTGAGAACATACTGTACAGGTGGAGGTGGTTAGTGGCGCTACCCGAGAGAGTCATACACTTATACTAACTAATTATATATATACACAGGTGTCTTCTCAAGCCACACCTTTAATTAAGAAATTCAATCACTGTAATAAAAAACACGACGGTGACCGCCCCTCAGCTTACTTCACCTGGTAATTTAACACCTTAATGCTACATAGAGAGGTTAGGTTAGCGTAGGTTAGGTTAGCGTTAGATAAGGTTAGATTAGGTTAGTTGTAGATTAGGATAGGTTATATTTCATTAGGTTAGGTTAGCGTTAGATAAGGTTAGATTAGGTTAGGTGTAGATTAAGATAGGTTATATTTCATTAGGTTAGGTTAGCGTTAGATAAGGTTAGATTAGATTAGGTGTAGATTAAGATAGGTTATATTTCATTAGGTTAGGTTAGCGTTAGATAAGGTTAGATTAGGTTAGTTGTAAATTAGGATAGGTTATATTTCATTAGGTTAGGTTAGGGTTAGGAGTGTTAATCTTAAAGTGACATAAGTTGGTGACCTTACTATTTACTGTTATTTATGTACATTCTGTTAATAAAATATTGTTGACTTTCGAAATATTCATCACAACGTACTTGTTTTTTCTTGCAGGGAAAGGAGGGATGAAAGAACAGGTATGGTCGGATAATAATCACCTGAGCTGAACACACCCACCACTAAACACACCTGGGATCTATATATTCAGGTGTGTGGTCGTAACAGATGTAAGGTAATAAGCATTAATCCTGCTTCCCTACATCAACACAATAACAGTTTCCTCTCGAGTAATTCTCTATAAGTCATCAAAGAAAAATCACCTTCGAGTAGATGTTACCTAAGATTATTATTGTGTCTGAGAGGATGTCGTGGAGGGGTGAATGTCGTGGAGGAGTGAATGTCGTGGAGGGGTGAATGTCGTGGAGGGGTGAATGTCGTGGAGGGGTGAATGTCGTGGAGGAGTGAATGTCATGGAGGAGTGAATGTCGTGGAGGAGTGAATGTCATGGAGGGGTGAATGTCGTGGAGGGGTGAATGTCGTGGAGGGGTGAATATCATGGAGGAGAGAATATCATGGAGGAGTGAATATCATGGAGGAGTGAATATCATGGAGGAGTGAATGTCGTGGAGGGGTGAATGTCGTGGAGGAGTGAATGTCGTGGAGGGGTGAATGTCGTGGAGGAGTGAATGTCATGGAGGAGTGAATGTCGTGGAGGAGTGAATGTCATGGAGGAGTGAATATCATGGAGGAGTGAATATCATGGAGGAGTGAATATCATGGAGGGGTCAATATCATGGAGGAGTGAATGTCGTGGTATATACAACAGTTCTGATATATATTACAATAGATATATAGTTATGAAGGTGACAATACAATCCTAAGTTAATTAATAGGATATTGAATACACACTGAAAGATATAATATACCTGTGTACACAAAGGGATATATTTATACGATAGACCAAAGTGCGGTTATTATCATTATATATTCAGGGTATTTACAGGGGGGCTACTGGCTGCCTTTCCTCTGTCTTCCACCAGATCAAGTGGATGAAGTAAGTGGAAGGGTAAGTGGGACGGTAGGTGGGTGGGTGAGAAGGAGGGTAAGTGGGCCGGTGGGTGCCTGGGAGTGTAGGTGGGTGGGTGGGTGAGAAGGAGGGTAAGTGGGCCGGTGGGTGCGTAGTGAGGTAGGAGAGAGGGTGGGTAAATGGGGGAAGGTAAGAGGGGGTTGATGCAAGGTCCCTGACGCTTGGCCCACTTGGCGCTCCTTCTCCTTAGTTGGTGCACAATAATGACAAACTTGGCTCACCTCTCCCAGCCATGGTGACCTGACCTGACCTAAGCCCTCGTAGGGAGTCTAACCTAACCTAATCTAACCTAACGTAAACTAATCATAATATTAACACTTCGGGTACTTTATGGAGTTATATGAATCGCATATACAAGATTGATTTTTTTTGGGGGTGGTGTGTGTGTGTGTGTGTGTGTGTGTGTGTGTGTGTGTGTGTGTGTGTGTGTGTGTGTGTGTGTGTGTGTGTGTGTGTATGTGTGTGTGTGTGTGTGTGTGTGTGGAACTCTGCCAAGCCGCAACTCAAGTTCAGTGTAGCGAGAAAACTCCGTTGGAGATCTCCCGATTCTGCCCTCGTTCACTCACTCACTCACCCACCTAATTCACTCACTTATTAACTTATCCACTCGCTCACTCATTCACTCGCTCACTCACTCACCTAATTCACTCACTTCATTCATCACTCATTCAATGACTGTCTGACTCACTCACTCACTCAGAGGTCAAAGAGATGTAAAATGAACTGTGGTTAATTTAAAGGAGAGAGAGAGAGAGAGAGAGAGAGAGAGAGAGAGAGAGAGAGAGATAGAGCATCACACAACCTCTCCTCTCTTATACTGTAGTTTCATTTACGATATTAACTTCCATAAATTACTTTAAAATAATATTACCCAAACAAAGATAAAAAAAAAGTTAATAATCACAACATATATTATTTGTTTTAATATTCCTGTTTGTAAAATTTTACTTAGAAAAATATTAAAAAAAAATAATTGTAATTTCGTCCAGGGGTGAAAAGGATATTTGTCTGACTCCAATCACAACACACAGGGAAGGTGAGAATGGTGACTGTGTAGGCATGGGGGAGAAGAGGAGGAGGAGGGAGTACTACCACTACAACAATGTACCCAATGCCATCACACACACACACACACACACACACACACACACACACACACACACACACACACACGAGTAAATAAATAAAAATGACCTGGACAATACAAGGGAAAGGCACATAACTAGTGATAAGAAGTTGTGTGTGTGTGTGTGTGTGTGTGTGTGTGTGTGTGTGTGTGTGTGTGAAATGGTTGTATGGAATGAGGAAGGATGTGTTGCTAGGAGGAGGAGGAGTGAGGGAGAATATCTCGCTAGGAGAGGTGGGAGAAAGAGGAGGAGGGGAGGGGGGTAACCTGACCTAACCTAACTTAACCTAATTCTCCAAGGTAATATTCAGGCGAAAGAAGCTAAGTTGAGTAACCTTATGAGTGATAGATAATGAGTAACGTGTTTTGAATATTTCAGGTTTAATTAAAAAAGGCGTTTAATGCTCTCTCTCTCAGCGCCACACTGTTGACTGTACACTTTCCCCGAGATTAATTTGCGACTGAGAGCAGCGTATACATCAAGCCACCGCCGCGTGAATACCACATCCGCGGGGACCACCAGCTACTTCCTCTCCTCCTCCTCCTTCTCCCTCTTCTCCTCTGCCTACTTCCTCTCCTCCTCCCAGATTACAAGTGATCAACAGCTTCACTGAGGTATTAAACCTTTGGTGTCGCATTATCTTGCCTCTAACACTCAGCCTGCCATTAAATGTTGCATTATGGTCGTGTATAATAGATCCACTCCAACACGAGGTTCTCCAACACAAGACCTGCGGGGCTCACAAGACGCGAGGGATTCACAATACCTGAGGGACTTACAAGACCTGAGGGACTCACAAGACGCGAGGGACTCACAAGACCTGAGGGATTCACAATACCTGAGGGACTCACAAGACCTGAGGGACTCACAAGACCTGCGGGGCTCACAAGACCTGAGGGACTCACAAGACGCGAGGGACTCACAAGACCTGAGGGATTCACAATACCTGAGGGACTCACAAGACCTGAGGGCCTCACAAGACCTGCGGGACTCACAAGACCTGAGGGACTCACAAGACCTGAGGGACTCACAGTACCTGAGGGACTCACAAGACGCGAGGGACTCATAAGACCTGAGGGCCTCACAAAACCTGAAGGACTCACAAGACCCGAGGGACTCACAAGACCTGAGGGGCCCACAGACCTAAGGGGCCCACAGGCCTAAGGGTCCCACAGACCTGAGGGGCCCACAGGCCTAAGGGTCCCACAGACCTGAGGGGCCTACAGACCTGAGGGGGGCCACAATACGTACGGGCCTCACAAGACCTGAGGGCCTATTTACCCCAGGCAGAAGAGGACCTCACCTGTTATCCTGTAAGCATCGTATCTGTCAACACTCCTCGACCTCCTCCTGGTCTCAGACACAGATGCCTGACGGACCAATCTGTTGCCGCTGGCCGTCGCCGCCGCCGACGGCGCCACCGCCGTCGTCGTGGTCGTAGTACTGACAGCGCCGCCGCTTGCACTCCCACCAACCGCGCCACTACTGCTGCTGCTCCTACTGCTGCTGCTGCTGCTGTTGCCACCGTCACCATCGCTGTTGTTGGCGCTGGCCGTACTGCTGCTGCTGCTGCTACTGTTGTTGGGGGAGCTGCCGGTGCTGCCTGAGGGTGAACCGCTGGTGGTGTTGCCGCTCGACCAACCCCGGCCAACTGAACCCGAGTCGAAGCTGCTCTGACCTCGAAGGTACTTGGCTCTTGTGTGACAGTGACGGCACTTTCCTGTGGGGTGAGAAGCGGGTGTTAGTGTGACATTATTGGAGGAAGGGAGTGGAGGGAAGGAAGGAGGGAGAACGTAATTGACTTCATAACTTCCAATTTACTAAATCTCTGTCACACACACACACACTATGCATGAACACCAACCCTGCCTCCTACTTGGGTGTGTGTGTGTCCCAGATTTACACACAACAAGCACACCCAGGTGAAGGATGGCTGCTTGTGTCATGCACGCGAGGTATGCAAACTGAATAAGGCAGGAGACGGGGAGGACGAGGCTGGGAGACTTTTGCTTGCAGAAGAAATTCTTGGAATGTAAACAGAACTGCGTGTGTGTGTGTGTGTGTGTGTGTGTGTGTGTGTGTGTGTCAGGAGGGGTGAGGGGGTACATCAAGGTATGTTAAAGGGGACGTAGTACACACACACACACACACACACACACACACACACACACACACACACACACACACACCTGTATCTCAAAAAGCCAACAGTATTCGCTGTTCGAGTAAGACAGTGAGTGAAACTTTTTGTGGTGTACCTCGAGGCTCCGTAACCAGTCAGGCCAGAGCTTTGTACCAGTTAAATAAGTTTACCCTCCCACTGCCACACAATCTTCCCTACCCTGACATGACCTAACCTATCTTACCACATCCTGACCTGTAACCTACACCAACTTAAACCTAACCTACCCTACCCTATCCTGAAAACCTAACCTTGTTTAACCTTACCTTATCAAATGTAATCAACCTAACTTTACCGAACCTAATTAATGTTCTGTAAATGCATTAGAGAGAGTGCGTACTCCTCTTTACCAATCAGATAAGTAGATCTCGACCAATCACATTAGGTATATAGGTAAAGAGAAAGAGAGAGAGAGAGAGAGAGAGCGCAGCCACAAATGATACCAACCACTTGTCTATATCTTTAAGTATTAAAAAACAAAACAAAAGACGCTCGTTACAGCCAAACACACGCCGTCGCACCAGAATAAACGACACAGCAAAAGATTTGAAGTTGAGAAGAATCTGACTGAACTGAAGTCACCCCGGCAAGGACAGAGGACACGACGCTTAGCAGGAAAAACTAACTTCCTTGACAGTTTACGAATCTGATGTTACAAATGTCATTTATTTGATCTAAACTAATATTTAGGTGTGCTGGTGGCATGTTTATTGTCCTGGGCTTGTAGTTCATTGATTCAGAGTTCGGAAATCGATTGACAAGTTTTTAGACCTTCCGAGGACCTCCTCAAGACCAAAGACCTAAATACTTCCCCAAAACTTCCTCCCCGCCCCCCTCCCTCCCTCTCCTACTCTTCTTCTTCCTCTTCCCCTTCCTACTCCTCATCTTTCTTCTCTTCCTCTTCTTATTCCTCCTCCAGCTCCTCGACAACTGTGGCAAGATTTATGCAGTAGTTCCCACAGGGTTACTTAATATATGTGAAAACTTGCCCTACCTTCTCCACCCACTTATACCGCGGGTCTCGACTGTTAAAAACCTCCCAGGACGGTTTCTAGTGTTAAATCAGATTTTCTACAGGTCACGGGTTTCAAGGGTTTATATAATGCCTGTCTGAAGTCTGTTTTATAAAGTTTTTTTTTTCAGCACGTTTTATCGTGTGTGGTGAACTTTAGATGTAAATATGGAGAGGTCGTGTTGTAATCTGATGGTGGGAGACATTTGTGTTATGATTTATTTCATCTCATTTTACCTCCTCATACAGCGATTACACACACACACACACACACACACACACGGTCTTGAATTAAATCTTGAAAACGTTTTCCAATATGCTCTCTCTCTCTCTGTGTCTTTCTCTCTCTCACACACACACACAATGTCAAAGATAAAAACTGCGTCCAGCGGATGCTCTCACGTTAAACGGACAGCCAATAAGAAAGAAGATATTTTCCCATGGACTATTCTGATTGGCTTTTCTACGTGACGTCATTATCTGAGCTATTTTCTGCGGAGGTCTGTAAGTTAGTGTCTTTTGTGGCGCTGAAGAGAGGTATCAAGGTCAAGTCAGGTCAGAGAAGATCAGGTTAAGTTAGGGCAGGTCAGGATTGGTAAGGTCAGGTTAGGTTAGTTTTTATCAGGTCAGATCTTTAGGGGTAACTCATCACCAAGGGGTAATTCATTAAAGGGTAACTCATCATCAAGGCGTAACCCATCGAGGGGTAACTCATTAAGGGTAACTCATCAAAGGGTAACTCATCAAGGGTAACTCATTAAAGGGTAACTCATTAAGAGGTAACTCATTAAAGGGTAACTCATCAAGGCGTAACTCATCGAGGGGTAACTCAAGGCGTAACTCATTAAAGGGTAACTCATTAGAGGTAACCCATCGAGGGGTAACTCATTAAGGGGTAACTCATCAAAGGGTAACTCATCAAGGGGGTAATCTATCTTCGTACCATAAAAACTCATAACGAGAGAGAGAGAGAGAGGCTAGCAGCTGAGGGGGGTGTTGAGAGAAAAGAAAAGAGAGCCAGTTAGCAGGTAAGAGAGAGAGAGAGAGAGCGCCAGCAGGTGAGGGTAGGTGTTGAGAGAGAGAGAGAGAGAGAGAGAGACTAGCAGCTGAGGGGAGGTGTTGAGAGAGACCCAACTAGCAGGTGAGAGGGAGAGAGAGAGAGAGAGAGCCATCTAGCAGGTGAGAGAGAGAGCCAGCCAGCAGGTGAGAGAGAGAGCCAGCCAGCAGGTGAGGGGGAGGACGCCATTAAAGCTGTTGTATCAGAAGGTGGTGATGAAGGCGTCGTGTGTTAAGGAGTTAATGTTGCAGACTCTCTCTCTCTCTCGTGCCTTTAACACCAATAATGTTTATACTGTAATATTGAATAACACACAGGTACAGTAATTCCCAGGTACAGTAAAACCCAGGTACAGGTGCAATGATTCTCAGGTGATGATTGATTATGATTTAAAATACAGACACACAGGTAAAACGCCATAGTAATGAGTTGATTGTAAGGCACAGGTGGTGACCTAAAGGAACACTATCAGTATCTAGTTCACCACGTTATATCACTCCTGGATATTATTGACCTTTGATAATGTTCTATTATTTCAATGGTTAAACTGAATATAAATCATCAGTGTGCTTACCTGTAGACCAGAACCCATTATAAATTTTAATATTTCAGAAACCCAGAGTAAAACCCTTAGTTCTTTAACAAACTCAAACCCTTAGTTCTTTAACACGCTCAAACCCTTAGTTCTTTAACACACTCAAACCCTTAGTTCTTTAACACACTCAAACCCTTAGTTCTTTAACACACTCAAACCCTTAGTTCTTTAACACACTCAAACCCTTAGTTCTTTAAAACACTCAAACCCTTAGTTCTTTAACACACTCAAACCCTTACTTCTTTAACACACTCAAACCCTTAGTATATCACAGTATAACACCAAAGTATATCACAATATAACACCAAAGTATATCACAGTATATCATGCTTCACTAATATCCTATCCACATTGTCTTCATCTTCACATAAACTCATTTGAATATTCATGGAGGAGGTTCTTACACTCGGCCAATTTACACGACTGAGAATAATGGATTTTGGTGAAGATATTAAGGTAATCTTTCTTCGATAATTAATTTGGGTTGATTATCACTGTTATTTTCTTGTCATAATCACCTGAACGTTTAATAATTAATGATATTTTCTGAGGTCGGATTGTTTTTTATTTGGTAATGTTTGTTTGGTTCTCAGTTAAAGGTACGTTGTGGGTTTTTTTTTCGCGTTATGTTAGGAAGAAAGAGGTAGTATACTGTATTGGTGTATCTGAGAGAGGGATACAGCCAGAGTATGGACGACTCTGTGGAGCTCGATGTCAGGCTGTCAACTGAGCTGTACTGTCCTTGTACAAAATGTCAGGTTAGCAGAACACTGGTGCCGAGAGGTCGATTGAAAGTTACCAACTATGACATGACATGAATGTGATTATTATTGCTCAAATGCTAATTAGCCTGGGTGATATAATTATTTCCAAATTCATGGTGTGAATGGCTGTAAATTCACAATGGAAAAGGGAAACACTGGAGCACCTTAACTTTCTCACAAATCAATCCCACTTTACCTTATACGTATAGATTGATGAAAACATAAGAACATAGGCCTAATGATCCACTACTCCCTATCGTGAGTTCTGTGGGTTCTATTACGTACAAATTATCCAAGTGTTTGGTTAGGATGCTCTCCCATCTTACAGGCCAGATATCCAATTCGCGTGTACATAACAGCAGTGATTTAATTGATAAACTCAAGAAACAAAATGAACCGGTTAAGTTAATATATTATGATGTCAATTCGCTTTTCACTAGAGTCCCAGTGAATGACCTACTTTCATTCCTTAAAGATAAATTGCATCTGTTACATTTGACTATTGAACATGATATATTTCTCAAATTGATAGAGTTGTGTGTTACTGACAATGTTTTTTGGGGCAAATGGATAGTTTTACAAAAATATTTGGCTCCTTTAGCCTGTATTTGTATGGAGTTTTTTGAGGTTAGATTACTACCCAACATAGGGGACTTTATTCCTCCATGGTATAGATATGTAGATGATGTTCTTTGTCTTTGGCCTAGAAACAGTGACCCCCTGGAACTTTTGGACAAGCTTAATGATCTTGTACCCTAGTATTACCTTCAAAATTGAAAGATAAATAAATGGATCCCTCCCATTTCTTGTTCTGCTTATCATGAGAAATGTTCACTTCTATAGATTTAAGGTGTACAGAAAGCCTACACAGGTAGACAGTTTCATGCATTTTTTATCGAGTCACCTTGAGTCTACAAGGATGTTAAGTTTTTCTGCTATGTTTTTGAGATGTTTGCGTATTTGCGACCCTGAATTTATTGAAGAAAAATTGCAACACATTCAGTTCATTGCACATAAACTTGGCTACCCTTCATTGTTTGTTGATCGTTGTCTTAAAAGGGCTAAAAAAATCCCTTTATTGTACTCATACTAGATAAGTTCCTACACTTG